TTTCAATGTTCCTGGATTCATACTTCATACATTCCATGTTCCGATTATTAATGGATGTTTGCAGCTTTTTCTTCCCATTTTGAGTCATGTCATATCAGCAAAAGGAGGTCCTGGTAGTGTTGCTCCATCCATGTCATTAAGGTCAACTCTACTTGAGGAAGCAGCTCTTCCCCAGTAGTATTTTGAGTGCCTTTTGAGATCTGAGGGGCTCATCTTCCAGTACCATATCAGGCAATGTTTCTGGGCTATTCAACAAGTTTTCTAGTAATATATCAGACAGTGTTTCATTGCTATTCCTAAGGTTTCCCTGGCCTACTCCTTGTCAATTTCAAACCATAGTGCTCCCAGCAGGACCATGATTTGCCTAGTCCCCTTGGTATACCATATCACTCAATTTTCATAGTTTTAGCCAGTCATTTTGTGGGAGTTATAAGACTATGGCTAGAAAGGCCGTATAAAAGCAGTTCATTGCACTGCAGTCTCTGTGTACCACTCTCTGGATTGTGAACACTGTGAAGGCAGGTGATTTGCTTACCATTAAAACACCAGCACATAGATGAGTATGGCAACTACTAATAGTATGGCTGAGAAATTATAAGCAGATTGGTTATTTCTTACAAGATGATTTTAGAATTACAAGTATTGTTACAGAGTGACTAACATTTTTTTAAAAATAATATTTTATTGTGTTTTTGATGAAAGTTTACACAGTAAATTAGATTCCCTCTTGACAGCTTCTATTCAGATTGTTCAGTAACTTTAGTTATATTTTCTACAGTTTATCAGCATTCTCTTTGATAGCGTTCTGGTTGTTCTGTTTCCAGTACTTCAGTTTCCTTGTCCCTTATCTTCTCATCTTTGCTTTAGAGTAAATGTTCACATTTTGGTTTCATAGAGATGGTTTTTTAGTTGACCATGTACTTATCAGTAATATCCTTTATTTTGTGTGCCATTCTGTTATTTTGCTATAAGGTGATCTCAGGGGATAGTTATGGTTCAAGATTTAAACAGTATTCCGGGGCGATAGCCTTAGGGAGTCCTTTTGCCTCAACTGATCCAGTAAGTCTTGACTTTTTAAGAATTTGAGTTCTATTTTGTGTTTTTCTCCCCTTCTATCAGAGTCTATCTATCGTGGCCCTGATCAGAACTGTCTGTAGTAGTAGTCAGGGACCATGTAGTTCTTCTGGTCTCAGGGTTGATGAGTCTGTGGTTCAGGTAGACTATTAGCCCTGTACACTAATTTCTTCTGTGGAACTTTGATTTCTTTCTTACTCTTTTCTTCCTGACATATGTAGAGAGAGTAGTTATATCTTAGATAGTGCTTACAGCTTTTAAGACCTTGCTTCATTAGGATTCGGAACATGAGCTTTGTGAGCTATATATTATGCCAGTTGACTGAATTGTTCCATGAGACTAACCTAGAAAACTGGTTTCTCAAGGCATTTGGTTATGTCTGAAAAGTATCTATGATTTTTTTCTTTTATGAATATATGTGCCTGCACACACATATTTATACTTATATGTACATATAAATACTTTAATCTGTGCATATATATGTATAAACCTGCACTTACTCGTGGACTTATATACCTGTACACTGACATATGTGACCATACACTCATTTTTTGGGTTTTTACCACATTACATATGTCAAATTCTTTAATACATGTGTCAACTCCTTTTCTCTTGAGTGCTTCTTAGTGACATTTATTTGGTCAGGCTATGCTCACTGCATCCATATTCTATGCTAATTTTCTCATCACCAAAAAGGAAAAGTAGCTAAGATCTAGAGCATGATTTCTCCTTACTCCCCACCCCTCCATGGTACCCACCAATGAATATTATTCTCTGTCTATATAACTATTCTTGTCTTATAAAGGTGGTTGTTGTTGTTATGTGCCATCGAGTTGGCCCCAACTAATAGCGACCCCTCCTTGGGTTTCCAAGGCAGTATCACTACAGAAGTAGGATTGCCCAACCTCCCTTCTGAGGAGTGGCTGGTGAGTTTGAACCACCAGCCTTCTGGTTGGCAGTCAAGTGCTTTAGGCACTATGCTACCAGAGCTCCTTATAAAAGTGGTATCATATAATATTTGTCTTTCTGTGATTGACTTGTTTCACTTAGCATTTTGTTCTCCATCTGTATTATAATGTTTCATGGATTCATCATTGTTCTTTGTAGTTGCTTAGTAGTTAGCTAATCTATTTGCTTATTTAACTCACATATATTTGATTTCCAGAAGTGGACCACCTCAAGAAAATCCAAAATGTGCAAATATGCAAAGCAAACCCACTGCTGTTGATTTGATTCTGACTCATATTGACCCTACAGAATAGAGAATAACTGCCCCATGGGGTTTCCAAAGCTGTAAATCTTTACAGAAGCAGACTGCCTCATCTTTGTCCTGCAGAGTGGCTGGTGTGTTCTAACAGTTGCCTTTTGCTTAGCTGCCCAATTCTTTCGCAGTGCCACCAGACTTAGTATGCAAAGCAAAGCAGGAAATAATTTCTTCAGTCCAAAAAAGAGCATTTACATGTGAAAGGGAGATTGTTTAAAATTGTGAGATCTTTGTACTTCTATAAAATGATTGAATTATATATTCAGGAAGTCAATAAAATTTCAGAAAAAAGTAACTTGTAAAATGTAAGGCAGGACTGAATATACTGTTATTAGTGATCATGTCTTGATTATTTTTGGTGGGTGGATTCTTAGTGGGTTTGTTACCCATGATTTTCTCATGAAACCAAATTAAATCATTTAAATATGTGCAGTACTATGCTTTGGAACAGTGTGAGTTTGGAGAGGGAGGGGCTGGTATTTAAAAGTACTAGCTAAGATAAAATATTTGAATAATATATGGTTGTTAGTTACCTGTTCTAGCCTATTATTATAAATCTGTATTATCTAATATGGTAATCATTAGCCATGTGTAGCTGTTTTTATATAATTTTAAACTAATTAAAATGTAATACAGGCAGCCCCTGGATTATGGATGTACTTGCCCTTCATTTTTATGTAAACTTGCCCTCAGTTTGAGATTAATACCTACTGTTAACAAATTCTTCATCACAGTCATCTCCACTTGCTGTACATGCAGGTTTCTAATAGTTGAAAAGGCTTCAAGCCTTTTCTTGCACTAAAGTAAGGCTAAAAAGAACCATATGCCCCTCTTCCATCTTACCTACAAATTTGACAGAAAGACACATCTAGGAATGGATGCTGTTCGTAACCTGGGAACTGCCTGTAAATTAAAAATTCAGTTCCTCAGTCTTAATAACCATGTTTCAAGTGCTCAGTAGCCTCATATATGTGGCCAGTGGCTGCTGTACTGAACAATGCAGATAGAGAACATTTCTTTCCATCATCACAGAAAGTTCTATTGGACTGTTCAAAATTAATGAAAATTGCTGAGAGATTTCAGCAAATTTATGTATTCCGAATGTTGGAGGATAGAGTGTCAACAAATTGGAAAACTTTGTTCTCTGGGATTCTTAGGTAGAACGTTTCAGAATAATTAAATTTTTCTGGTAGGGGAGAGAGGAAACTAAATTTTAAATTATGGGGTTTTTGCTGTGTTCTTATTAAATCTTCATAATAGTCAGGCCAAACACAATAGCACTGCCATCAAGCTGAGTATCCAAAGTGATAAAATCTTTATGGAAGTAGATTGCCTTCCTTCCTTGGAATGGCTGGTGGGTTTGAACTGCCAGTCTTCTGGTTAGCAGGCAAATAAATGCCTTATGCCCTTCACCACCAGAGCTCCTTAGTAGCCTGGCCAGGCAGGTGGTATTATAGATGAGATCAAGCCTGTAGTTGAGCAATCTTAATTTCAACCAGGTCTGTCCAACTTCAGTTTATATCTTTTGGTTTTGTTCTGTACTTCAGGAGTAGTGTTGAGTTGGATATAATCTCCAGTTCATGGTAAATTATCATTGATACTTGGTGCAGAGACCAACTCATTTCTTTCTTTCACCGATAGGTGACCATTCTGATGTGTTCGATGTATCTATTTGTTTTTGCAAAACGCGTGTTTACCTATAAGTTTACAAATTTTACATTTACATAATTAATATTATATATCTCATGAGATTTTCCTACTCTGCAGTGCTGTTTGATAATTTAAGCACTCAGCTGTCTTGGTTTAAAATATTGTGCAAGGAAATCTTTCTAAACAGACTTTTTGGCTTTTGTAATCAGAGAAGTCTGAAAGGAACCCCCCCCACCCCCCGTTTTGTTCCAGGAGTAACGATAATCAACCAACAAACCCATTGCCCTTGAGTCAGATCCGACTCATAGCGACCCCTCCTTGGGTTTCTGAGGCAGTATCACTATGGAAGTAGATTGCCCAGCCTTCCTTTCAAGGAGTGGCTGGTGGGTTTGAACCACCAGCATTCTGATTAGCAGTCAAGTGCCTTAAGCACTACGCCACCACAGGAATAACGAAAGAGGAATGACTTGTCCCTGAATGTTTATTTATTATATTTTATAAGTTACTTTTGTTTTCCTCACTATTATTAGGTGGGCAGTGATCATTTTTCATAGATATTGCTGGGGCTGAGCATTGCAGCCGCTTTTTTCTTGAGCTAATTATAGATTCACATACAGTTGTAAGAAATAATACAGAGAGATCCATTGTACACTTTGCCCAGGTGCAGCTGCTTTTCTTCTTCTGACTTGTATATGAAGTCTGGGAAGGGATAGTCCAGCTTGTTGGAGTTATGTCAAGTAAAAGCCGAGGCATTCTCTTATGTGTGTAACACATGAACTTTAACATGTGGACTTTATTTGAGCTGCTGCTTTGCTGATTTTTTTTTTTCACTAGTGTTTCAGATAGTAAAGTTATTATACTGCTTATTTCTATGTGAAGGAAAACATTATGATATTTGTTTTTTAAGCAAATTACTTGAATTTTTCATACAAATATGTTAAAAGTAATTGTAGAAATGCAAAATTAAAAAATTTGATAGTCATAAGATATCTTTGCGTCTGTTTTGTTGTAGGTTGTTTCACGAAGAAATCCAGAGGATGTCCAGGAGGTAACATGTTTTCTATATGAAAATTTTATTTTCTATATTTGATAAAAATTTAATGAAGTGCTTTGCTGAGGAAACTGTCTGCTTTGGTTTGTATGGAGATTGTTTGTACCACATAAAATGGTAGTTGAAGTGAACGCATTTCAGATCTAATAAGTAAACAAGAATTAGAGAAATTATAGTGCTGTTTAATAATAAGTGAGAATTGTTTGGTAACTAGCACTCATAAGATTTCAGTAATAAATTAATGAGCCCCTGCTTATCTATTTAAAAATCATGATGCCTGTTTAATAAAAAATGAAAAGCATTTGGTAACTAGTACTAAGTTTCTAACGTTATAATAATATATTGAGGTTCTCTACCTACTTCACTTTTGTGTTGAATTAACATGTTGACACCATGGAAAACTATTTGGGGTGTAGGTATTTAATTTCTTTTTAAGTTTCTCAATTCTTTTGCAGACTCTTCATTGAATTTTTTTTTCTTTCTCTTTCTCAGTAAAAAACCAGACTGTTGTGTTTTTGCTTAAAACTGTGGAATTCTTTATTTATAATTACTCTTATACTTGTATTATCTTTAGGGATCCTTACTGAGGAGCTTGTTTCTGTTAACTTTTCTTAATTTACTTGCTCATTTTCACTAAGATTAGAACACATATTGGGGATTGTTTTTCCTCCCTAATGTGTCTAAAACAGATGTTGTAAACTGGGGGTCCTTATTCTGCAAAAGTACTTTTTTTTCCCCCATGGAATTTGAAATTCTTTAGGAACTCTGGTGGCATTTGGCTGGTTAAAGTATTTGGCTGCTTAACCAGAAGTTAACCAGAGGTGGTATGAACCTACCAGCTGTTCCATGGGAGAAAGATGAGCAGCCTGCTTCGGTAAAGATTTACAGCCTTGGAAATCCTATGGGGAAGTTCTACTTTGTCCTAAAGGGTTGCTATGTGTTGGAATCGAGGTGATGGCAGTGGGTTTGGTTTTTCACAGGTGGGGTGCTTTCCATTTAGCCAAAGGCCCCAGTACTCCTTACTGAAAGTACCTGGCTTGATTTATTCCTTTAAGTTGATTGTTTGGTACTGGTAGGTTTGAATTTGTGACCTCTAGTTTAGATACTACTTAAATTTTTATACATTATGTAGCTCAGTTTGATTACTGTTTCTTATTGTGTCTGATCTGCTATTTGTTTTTGCCTTATGATTAAAAATAGCCCAACAAAAGACACACTTTTAAAAGGCTTTATACTGTTTTCCTTAGGGTTTATGGTATCTCCCCCTCCCCATTAGCCAGGAAGAGATTATTACAATTGTAATATTGTTGTTTTAGAAGAAAAGGATTTCTGTATATGCATATATATTTATTTATTTTCAATGAAAATAATTATATACCATTGATTAAAGTACTCGCTACTTATGTGTCAATTGATTAGTATGAATTGTATTTTGTATCTTCAGAATTTCTATAAATTATATTGAATTATAATCAACACGAGGCTATTCTGTTTTTACAACTTTGTTAAAATGGAAAATAGGTTGCATTTCCTTTGAATACATTGTCTGATTGCTGTGATGTAGTTTGTAGCTTGATGTTCCCCTTTTCCAGGGAGAATCCTGAACCAGCCTATTCATGAACATGTTCTCTGCCATTTCCTTAATTCTTTTTTGGGGAAAGTTCTTTTATATTAACAACTGTTGATGAACATTCATCAGAAAGCTCTTGTAAGTGTCCTTTAGTTAGATGATTGCATGAGAAACGGTATAAAATTTTTAAAAAACTGTTTCCTGTGTAGCAGTCTGCTTAACATATAAAATAACCTTGCAATTATAGGAGGACTTTTTTTTTAACTTCCTATTTATTTCATTTAAATATTGGAATTCTTATTTAGAAGAGGAACCAATCACCTGGAGTTGTTTCCATTTCTTTTCCTTTCACTTTCTCTATTAACTAGGTTATTTAGTTGCTGCTTTAGAATTGAATCAGGTTTTACGGGGCTGTTGATGATTAATAGATACACTGCTAGTCAAACAAATACCATGCTGCTCATATGCATTCTTATGAACCCAGGGACATTTTGTTGCATTTCTCTTTTATATACCTTGGCCATGCCACCTGGTAATACTAAAATGTTCATGCGGAGTAAATAATTTAAAATGATCCAGGGTAGCTCTCTTTCTTTTTTTTTTTTTTACATCTTTAAAATAATTCCCTCTGAATTTTTATTTATTAAGAAAAGCATAGGTGTATCTGAAGGAAGGCAGCAACAGGTTATCTGAGGCCTCTCATTCATTTCTCATTTATGGCATGAACAGTCTGCAGGAGGAAGAAAAAAGACATGGAAGTTTTGTCCTCTTTGAAAAAAAAAAACCTATTTATCTATAGCTCACTTTCTCTATAGGCCCCAGATTTCACTGGCAACATTTGGAAAAGGAAAAGAACTGAAATAAAACTTACCTCTTATGCATCCTGTCAGAAATCCCTACTGAAGTAGTCATTTTATAAATAAAATAGTTTTAGAAAAGAAATGCACCTAGAGGAAGAAAAGGTTCTTGAAAAAGAGCGAAAGAAAATCCAAAAGCAGAAAGTATGATAGTGATGTTGGTCGCAAGAAACAATAATCCAGCAAGCTTTAAATATTGTATGATAGTAAAATGGACAAAGTTAATTAAATTGAGTGTTTTGATTTCATAAAATACAAGAGATATAAAGTTTTTGGTGTCAGTAAGTGTAAGTATTGGAAAAGGAAACAATGTATGTGAGAAAAATATTTAAGGGAATATTTTAATGAAGGTTTTATTAAATTTATTAAATTTAATAAATGAAGGTTTTATTAAATTTATTAAATTTAGGTTGTCACTGAATGGAATTTTATTCAGAGTGACTTTAATGAGTAAGAAATTTCTGCAGTATTGATTCATTGTACAATATTGATTCAGTTATACAACTGTTTTTTTCAGTGGGAAAAATTGAAAATGTTAGAGAAAAAGTTTCATATGCATCACTCAGGATTTTGTTGGTAGCATAGTGCCTAAGGCACTTGACTGCTCACCAGAAGGCTGGCGGTTCAAGCCCACCAGCCACTCCTCGGAAGGAAGGTTGGGCAATCCTACTTCCGTAGTGATACTGCCTCGGAAACCCAAGGAGGGGTCGCTATGAGTCGGGGCCGACTCGACGGCAAACAACAACAACAGGATTTTGTTTAGTCGAAGTATAATCCTTAGTACCTGTAGCAGAAATGTACTTTTGTTATGCTTTTCCACTTTGAAGATTTCTGCAAACTTCTAAGTCTAAAAGGAGTAAGAAAAAGAGGCAATGGATGGTGACATATTGCAATGCTTTGGTTTCCTGCATTTCTTGAGGGTTATGTTTGCTCTTATTAGGTAATATTCTGGTTTTACAGTCTTAGTGTTGAAAATAACCAATAAGTGAACAAATTAGGGTGTATTGAAGAAATACAGATTCACCTAGGGAGTTCTAATTCTCTTTTTGTCTGCTGGAAGAACTTGCAGAGTTTATGGAGAGTATACAATACTTATAGCTACAGATTTATTACGACCAAAAAGACACAAACAGAGGCATACAGGGAGATCTGGGAGGGTTTCCAATGTGGAATTTCTGTGTTCCAAGGAATATGCTACCCTTCCAGAGCAGATAATCTCATCAACTAGGAAGCACTCTGAACCTCTATGAGAAGGCTTAGCCAATCCTGCATGGTAAGCTAACCGATGCCTCCTAAGGCTCCCAGGTTTGGTTTGTCCATTTCCCACTTCCCAGCACAGATTCTCAGGTGTGTCCTGAAAGTCCCAAACCAAGGCACCCCAGTTGCTCCAAGGTTATTTCTGTGGAGCCAAGGAAGAGGCCACCTTATTGAGGTAAATCTAGGTCCTTTACCTCATAGTCATGATTGGGGAAAAGGGAGCATTTGGGGAACTAGAAGTCTAAATACAGTTAAAGAACAAGTATAGAGGGATCAAGGGAGGAAAAGCCAGTGGAAGATCAGTCATGGAGAAGAGACTATGAAATTAGCAGTGGATTAGCTGTTAACAATCTCAAAGTTCATGTTGTGGCTTAGGAATGAGTTGCTGAAGTAGGAGGTAAAATTCATTGAAATGAGAGGTGAGGAGTGGAAAAGCTATTAGGTAGCATTACAAGGAACGGAGATGGTAATCCAGTTCAGGCTTCTTCAACCTCGGCAATATTGACATTTTTGGGTGCATAGTTTTTTGTTATGGATAGGTGGGGGAGTTGTCCTGCATGTAGGATATTTAACAGTATCCCTGGTCTCTACCCAGTAGATACCAGCAGTACCCTCCACCCCTATGACAACCAAAAATGTCTCCAAACATTGAAAATGCCCTGGTGTGGGGAGTGGGCAAAATTGCCCCTGATTGAGAACCACTAGAGCTGTTGTAACAAATTGCCACAAACTGTGTGGCTTCAAGCGACAGAAATACACTGTCTGACAGTTCTGGAGGCTAGAATTTAGGTGTTGGAAGGGCCATGCTCTCTGAAGGCTCTAGGGGGAGGTCTTTTCTCCTAGCTTCTGGTAGCCCCAAGTGTTCTTTGGCTTGTGGCAGCATAACCCCAAATCCTTGCTTCCATCTCCACATGGCTATCTTCCTTCTGTCTGTCTGTGTCTCTTGTAATGACATCAGATTAGAGCCCACTTTATTCCAGTAGGACCTCTTGTTAACTAATTACATCTTCAGAAATCTTATTTCCAAATAAGATCACATTCACAAGTTTTAGGAATTAGGACTTCAACTTTTTTTGCGGGAAGGGGGAACAATTCAACTCATAATAGATACTGTGAACCTAAAATTAATGGTCTTTTGAGGGTGGAAAGTAGGTCTTTTAAGTGATAATAGCATGGGACATATTTGCAGACATCACTGCAGATATCACTCTCAGCTTTGTGGCAGGTGAGGTTGAGATGTAGGATGAACAGTTAGGAACTAAGTAGAGAGCCAGGTTTCTGTCATGGTAAGACAACATGGATATAATCTTCATGAGTTCCTAATGAGATAATGGGAGCTCTGGTAGCATAGTGCCTAAGGCACTTGACTACTAACCAGAAGGCTGGCGATTCAAACCCACCAGCCACTCCTCAGAAGGAAGATGGGGCAATCTACTTCCGTAGTGATACTGCCTCAGCAACCCAAGGAGGGGTGGCTATGAGTTGGGTCCAACTCGATGGCACATAAAACAACAATGAGATAATTTCAAATTCTAACATTTGTCGATAGAGGAAAAGAAGGATGGTTTAATTTTATCAGCTCCTCCTTACATATCAAGTGAGTTGGGTCTTAACATAGAGTTGTACTAGAAGCCATATATAGGTAAGATATGAAGGATGGTATAAGGGAAATGTTTATGCTGCTTCTGAAATGATGAAAAGAAAGAGAATAAGGCAGCCCTGAGCGTCAGCTCCTTTTAGCATCAACTGGGGCAGTGGGAAAGGCATTTGGCTACTAACCAAAAGGTTGTTGGTTCAATCTCACCAGCTTCACTGTGGAAGAAAGATGAGGTAGTCTGCTTTCGTAAACATTTATCAGCCTTGGAAGCGAAACGGCAGGGGGAAGTTCTAATTCTTGCTCTGATTTATGTACCCTAGTATTTTAATCATTATTGTATTGAAATTGTTAACATTTGACCCTTAAATTACTGTTCTTTTATTGAAAAATGATCTTAGCCAGAATATAGATTTTGTTTGTAGATTTAATTATTTTCATGAACCATAATTTTTTGAATAGCTCCTATGTGTTCATAATGGCTTTAAGGATGTCATTTACCTTAAATGAGATATGGCTTTTACAAGCCAATCATCCCTTTCCCCTTAATCCATTGACAGTGTGGTTCTGCCATAATTTGATATTTTTAAGATATAAAAATAACATTGCTCTTTCTCATGACAGAAAATGTTCATATATCAAAATTAGACAGTACAGATAAGCAAAAAATCTGAAAATATAAAATCACCTGTAATCTCATTATCCTGAGACCTTTTACTTTTCAGTTGTTAGTTTGGCTCCTTCAGCTCTTGTTCTATCAGTTCTTGTTGTCTCTTTTACTAAAACTATTGATTCTATCTATATCTGCTATTAGCATTTGTCTTGATCATTTCATTTAAGAATAAAAATCCTTCTCCCTTCCTAGTGACCTGTCCCACAGCATAGTCAGGCTTTTTAAACACTTTGCACTTTCATAATTTCCTTTCTTCTGGCTGCTTCTTCAGTGTTAGGGTTCTCCATCAATCCATTGTCAGACTCCTCATCTCTTCTCAAATGCTGAGAAGCCTTTTCTGGTTGATTACCATCTGTCTGCTGATGACTCATAAATTAATATGTATTGTTCAGTTCTCTCTTGAACTCCAAGCCATCTGCCCTACTGGGCATCTCCAGGTAGATGCTTCACAAGCACATCAAATATGTCTAAAATTGAGCTTCTTTCTTTCTACTTCTTCCTTATTCTTCACCTCAGGGATCAGCATCACTATTTATTCTGTTGCAAAGCCAAAATTTTAGTAATTGTATTTGACATCTCTCTCCTTTTAAAAACCTCATCCCCACCTCTACTTCCTGTGTTTTATTTTGTCTGTTTAATCACTACTTGGCAGTCTACTTCTGTAGAGATACCATCTCGGAATCCCAAGGAGGGGTTGCTGTGAGTCAGAACTGACTTGATGGCACTGAGTTTGTTTTCTTTTTGGTCCCTTCAGGACTGTAACCTAAGATACTGTTTTCTGTAAAACTTTTTCAGATACCCCAGGCTGGTTTAGGTGGCCTTCCTATAACATCCAATAGCATTTATCATACTGTTTTGTGGTGTATTTATTGTGTTGGCTTATTCTTCCTAACTAAACAGTGAATTCTTTTAAAGCAGAGACTGTGTTTCTCACCTTTTCATCCTTTATGTCAACCTGTACCTAGCAAAAAGTAGGGCTAGGCAAATATTTCTTTGATACCTACTTTTGTTGTTGAATAAATGAATAAAAGAAAGTATCAGGAGGAAGCAGTTTGTTTAAATTAATTTATATTATAGTCTGCTCTGGTAGCATAGTGGCTAAGACACTTGCCTGCTAACCAGACGGCTGGCGGTTCAAACCCACCAGCCACTCCTCGGAAGGAAGGTTGGGCAATCCT